TGGCGCGATCTCGTCTCTGATAACTGTAACATTGAACTTCTTTGGCTTCTTGTTTCCTGAATAAGTCCAATAATTAATCGCATCCAAGAATTTAGCCAAATAAGAGCTCCATCCCTTAATAATATCTCTCAAATCAGACAATGATATGTAATTTATCATGCTGTCATATACTATTGTCTTCAGGGATGGGAGTTAAAGCTCGACGAGAAGCCAATGAGTACGTTCCAAAACAGGGATAAACACCTGCAATCATAAGTAATAATTCAATTGCGCACTTGTTTATGAACACCTTTAAAAAATTTAAAAAATAAATACTAACCTTATCGACCTCCCACCATGCATGATAAAGTTTAGCTTGTCCATTAGCCAACACATATGATTCTTGTCGTTGATTCTTCAAGTGAACTACGTGAAAAGACTTCGGCATAATTGTATATCACGCATTTTTTTTATTTTTTCCTCATTTTCCTTATCATTAGAAGACGTAACACCCATGCATCAATATGTTGTTTTACAAAAAAAGACATATATTAGTGAATTACATAAATTTAAAAAAAATTATCAAAATGAAATATAAAAAAATATAAGACTTATCCCCCATCGAAATAACCTTTATCTTCAACCCATAATAACACACCCCACCAAGACCGATCAATCAACAAATGCATATCATCGTTGAGTTTGTATATTTTAGCGTAACACCCCTAGCTCCGCTCATATAGATAAAAATCAACTGCGGTCTTAGCCCAAAGGGTATTATCCAGAATTGTTTCCGGTAGTGTTCTCCTCTCCACTTTATCTGCCGGAATAGTATTGGCCGGTAACTCATACGAAAGCCAATAGTCATCCATCATGTCCGGCACGTGAGAGGGTTTCTCAATAATTCGACATATTATGCCGTGTGAATCAGGCTCTTGAATGGTTGGAGAGACCTCTTCAACGATGACAGGGGCCTCTTGAACGAAGGGAGGGGACTCTTGAGGGATGATAGGGGCCTCTTGAACGATAGGAGAAGCCTTTTGAACGATGACAGATGAGTCGGGCTTCTTCTTATGGAGTCTTCGCACTATTGGGGTGAACGGAGACGTAATGACACGTGCACGTCGTTTGATGCATGAACCCCGTCGTGCAAAAAAAACCCGACGTAAATCATTCACCTTATCGGGCCGCTAAAAATAAATTAATACATAAATCAGTAAATAAACAGACATGATATTAAACAGTGAAAACAAAGACAAATATGTTTCAAACTTGCACGGTATTCACCCAAGTTATTATTATATCATAGTTCACAAAATGCATCAGATAACATTCCAGAAGTAAGAAATTATATAAACATTTAAAAGGACAACATATAGGTTTAGTGCATGTTCAAGGACAACATAAAGAGTAGTAGTTTATTCTTGAAACTTAAATTTGCAACACTGTGAAGTTAGTATTTGTCTTTTGGTTGAAGTAATGCCATCCATTCAAGTTTCAATTTGCAGAAGAAGAATAGTTTCTGAAACTTAAAATCGCAACACGAAACTTAAAATTGCAACACGAAAATGAATATCGCAACGCGAAAATGACTATCGCAACTCGAATTTGACTATCGCAACAGGGTTATTTTAGAACTGTTTAGTAGTATTTGCAGCAACTGAATGAATTTACTAAGCAATCTAAGTGAAATGGTTAATCTAAGTGAAATTACGAGTAAATCAAGTTAAATATATGAAAAATCTTAAACTTACCTCATTGTGTAGAGTATGAACCTCATTCTGTAACGATGCTACCATCTCACGCAGAGCCGCTACCTCACCACGTAAAGTAGATACCTCATCACGCCATGCACCATTGTCATCGCGTAAAGTACCGACCTCCTCACGCAAGGCATTGACCTCATCACGTAACTCCCCTAACTCATCCCGTGGAGGTGGAGGTGGAGAATATGGAGATAAAAGTTATGGCATCTTTGCCAGCCGCTTATCATGAGGTGATGGTGGAGAAGAGGCTCGATGATGTGACAAAATAGGTGATGGCTCTCGTTGTAGAGGTGTATAGTGTGGTCGATCAGGTGATGGCTCTGGGTGAGGTGATGGCTCTCGAAGTGGAGGCTGCTCATCATCCGTGCCATAAAAAAACGCTTACTAGCTTGCCACCAATCAGTGGCAAGCTCAGCCTCCGTGGGTGTCAGCCTCTGTAATGGAGTGTTGGCCTCCTAACAATATAAAAGCTCAAACAAAGTTAAACGTGTACTAGTAATAACTTGTTTATATATGGTAGTATTTGTGTTAACTTACATCATTTATTGTCGTATACCATAGTAACTCTTCCCAAATCAACAGCCGCCATTTCCTCTTCCAGGAAATAGCTCTAGGAATATCATTTGAAGTTTTTAATGCATATGTCTGCATGTCGGGAAAAACCTCAAATATCCAAATATACAAACAATATAATACACAAACATTAATAATTGTTAAATAATTAATTATAATTTTGGAAACATTATATAGAAATTCTTACCTTAAAGGCCCAAATAAAGCCTAACAAAGTGTATTTGAAACCATCGCCACGCAAACTTTTGCGGTCATCAAAGGCAGACGACAACTTATTCCAGGTAGCTTTCCATAGATACGAACCCCACGGAAACAGGTTCCATGCATTTAGGTCCTCTACCAATAATATTAGGTCCTTAGGAATAAGTTGTCTGGCCTCTCTGCCTAAAAAGTCGGCATGCAAAAGTACTAAAAGGCATACTCGGACAAAATCGACGTCATCCATCCAAGTAAAGCCATCTTTCTTATTCAATAATTTCGTCAAGTTGTCGACGTGTAAATTCGGCTTCTCCATTGACAGCTCAGAAAAAACCCGGGATAACCATGATGGGCGGGTAATATGACTAGTGTATCGACCTACATCATCGTGTCCGAAGCGTAGACCAGTGATTAAGCAAAACTCCTCCCGCCCAAAACACGTATACGCCGGTGGAAAATGAAACCATATCTCTTCATTACCACGTTTTATACTCTTGGGTAGATCGCTAGTCATGGTCTGAAGCCACAAATGGGTCAACATAGCATCTCCACCCGAATGTTGTACTTTCAGCCATGGCCCGAAGCAAGTATCCTCAAACAATTTTCTTTGTACAGGTGAAAGGTTCGACGCAATTGTAGTGACTAGGCTTATTTTATTCCTTAAGGTCAATTGAGCCGAAAAAAAGTTCTACAAAAACAATAAACATACCAAGTTAGATATACCAAAAACTAAACTGTGAAGATATACCAAAAACAATAATAAACATAAAGAGTAGTAGTAGTTTATTCTTCAAACTTAAATTTGCAACACTGTGAATTTCGTATTTGTCTTTGTTTTTTGGTTGAAGTAATGCAATTCATTCAAGTTTCAATTTGCAGAAGAATAATAGTTTCTGAAACTTAAAATCGTAACACGAAAATGAAAATCACAACACAAAAATGACTATCGCAACGCGAATTTGACTATCGCAACGAGATAATCGCAACGCGAAACTAAAATCGCGTTACGATTTTGTCGTTGCGATTTTCATTTCGCGTTGCGATCCTCAGTTTCAAATAGTCATTGTCTAAAATTGAAACTTGAATTAATTGCATTACTTCAACCAAAAGACAAAACAAAGACAAATACTAACTTTAAAGGGTTAAAGACTAAACAATTTAGCAGTATTGGCAGCAATCGAATGAATTTAATAAGCAATCTAAGTGAAATGGTTAATCTATTATTGAAATTACCAGTAAACTTATCATCAATTTCAATATGAAAAACCTAATAATAATGCAAAATTTTCAAAATAATAATACAAAATTTTCAAAATAAAAATAATTAAAAAAACTAACCCTCGGTGGTTGATTTTCCATTTCTGATCGTGAATGATTGTGAGGGTGGCTCTGAGAGATGAAGATAGACGGATTTCGCCGGAGATGGGGACGGATTTCGTCGGAGATGGGGACGGATGTCGCCGTAGAGAGTGAGAGATGAAGATGAGATTGAGTTGTGATTTAGGGTTTTAGGTTAAGAGTTACGATTACGAGATATATTAATATTTGTGTTTGGAATTTGAAAATAAAATACGCGTTGCGATACTAATGGCGCTTTGAAAATCGCATTGCGATTTTATATTATCGCAACGCGATAGTCAGAATCGCGTTGCGATTATGTATTATCGCGTTGCGATAGTCAAAATCGCGTTGCGAATCTGGAAACTGATTTGCGATACTGGAGATCGCGTTGTGATATACAGATCGCATTGCGATTTTGTTGGTCATTTTGGCAAATCGAAAAAAAGTTGGTCAAAATCGTATATTATAAGAAATTTTCGGTCACTGATGTTATTTTCTCTTATATATCAGTGGCACAGGGATTATATCCTTTCAAATCACTTGTCACACAAAAGATTCACATCTTAACCATTTATTATCTACGACACTAACTTATTCTTCAAAAAAATATGATAGATCGAAGAAAACGAACGAGATTGTTGTGCCTCCAAAAATTTTAAGTTAATATATATTTTTATATATTTTATATTTTTAATTGATAATTTATTTTTATTTTCAAAATTTTATAAATATATATTTCCTAACATTTTAAAAATCCACTTTATAACATTGTCTCCATCATACTACACATATAAATAATTTAAAAATAAAAAAATCATACAATAAAATATTAAAAATCAAATTAAATATTTCATATAAATAATAAATACAAATACTACATCACTAATATTAAAATACATATAATAATAATATATCAACTGATAATCAAACATTCATTTGAATATAAAAGTCGAAATTAAATATAAATCTTTTTTATCTAAAAAATATTATAAATAATTTATTTACGGGACGATGAGCTTATATCTATTTGTACCACCGACTTGTTTTCAGAAATTCATCCAAAGCCCAATAAGGTTGTGCATCGACCTTAGCCCATTAAAGAAGAATCATTGAGGTTGTCGTGTAAATTCAGAACTTGGGAGGATCGATCTCATCACTCAACTCCGTCATCCACTTATCTATCCCTTTTGGAACACAGAAAAGCCAGATAAGTAATGGCGCTAAATCTCCCCAACACATTTCTCCAAATCAAGCCTTCTCTTCCCACTTCATTCGCCACCACAAAGGTAAATATACCAAAATCCCAAGTTAATCTTTAATCATCCAACTTAACCACCTATTTTTCCCCTTTCTTTCTTTGTTTGTTAATAGACGGTTACTGCAACGGGAGGGGGCTATAGGCCACAGATTACATGCCGGAAAAAAGACATCCACCCGGAATTCTACGAGGATGCTAAAGTTTATTGCAATGGAGAATTGGTGTCGACAACAGGTGGAACCCAAAAGGAGTATGTGGTGGATGTTTGGTCGGGGAACCATCCTTTCTACCTCGGAAACAGGTCGGCTGTACTTGTGGACGCGGACCAGGTCGAGAAGTTCCGTAAGAAGTTTGAAGGGTTGTCTGAGATTATGGAAATTCCTGTGCTTAAGGGTGAGATTGTTTTGCCCACTAAGAAGAAGTCAGCTGGGAAAGGCAAGAAGAAGTAGATCCATTGCTAGTAATTTTATTCGTTTTTCCTCCTTATTCAAGGTTGTTAATGATACGGTATTGAAATGCTTGGTTTGTGTTTGATATTATGCTTAAATGATAAAAAAATGGTATTTAATCTTGTGGCAGATAGGACATTGGTCATGGTAATTAGTTAACAGAGATGTAGAAAAGAATGACAAACTATTCATCAATTTGTTTATTGACAAAGATTTTGAAAGTTTCAATACATTATGGCCTTTGCTTAATCAGTACTGAGTTCTGGGAAATTTAGGGAACTATTTATCTTGTTTAGGATGTCCAATGCCATTGTTTTTGGGTTCTAATTGTACAGCGTTTGCTTGTCTGCTGCAGTGTTGTTTTTGGTCATTGTTGTTTTTAGGCTCTAATTGTTTAGGGGTTCTAATTGATAAATGCGTCATCAGAATATCAAGTCAATTTTGTTAGTAAACAACCACTCAGAATGTCAAGCCACCATAGCCATGTCTAATAAATCTCTCACCACAAGTAGAATTGCTGAATCTCCTTCTCCACCATAGCCAGGTATTTTAGGATGAGTTGTATATTTTGCACCCGTACAAAAGAAAAGAACAAAGGAAAACTTCGAGACATGGTGAACATGGACACCATTCTTATTACTTGTGGAGAAGGATGAAAAGTATATTTACTTTAGCATCCTTGTATTGTATATAAGTTTGAATTGGATAACAATGGTGCAGCTTTTGGTAATTTGGATTTTAGAATTTTGGTTTTAATTGTAAATTTAAAGATGGTGTAAATTGTGTAATAATACAAGGGAAGAAAATTATAGAAACCAAGCATGGATGTGCGTAGCAAGATCCAAGTTATGATCAAAACCAAACCGATGCATATTATATGAGAAAGGCTGGGCTTGAATTGAGCACCTTTAAATAAAAACACTACTCAAATAGGTAGAACTTCCTCCTCTCATCTCGAGAGCCTGCATTAACTGAAATAGACCCAAAGCCTTTTTCCCAATTTGACATTGATTAAAAAGCCCGAAGCTTTAAAAGAAAAGCCAGCCTTTTAATAGAAGACTTGACTCACAATTGGTACCTAAATTATATTATCTTTTATTTCCGCATTTAATTGTTTTTAGTATCTATATTATCACGTGTCATTCAATTATTAAACTACATTATCATTGGTCATTAACTAGCAGGAAGGGGAGTAAAAACCGAAAATTCAAATATCAGTTATGAATTAAAAAAAAAACAAGTATTAACTTAAAGAAAAAGGAATAATGTTATCAATTTAGCTTTGATAGAATTATAATAAATAAAAAGAAATTAGTTATGACTTATAATTTAATTTAGTTTCCACGTTTATGACAAGAAAAATCTTTTTTATCCATATATTAACAAAATAAAAAGACTATTTTGAGTCGTTTCTGAATTAATTAATTTAAGCACAGCACTGCCAACTAAATAAAATATGTTATCTCTTTTGTAGGTCGGTGAGTTTGGTACGTTATATAATATGAGCGTCACGTTAAAGTTTGGAAGATGTAAAATTCTTTGTTAAAGTGGATGGTTGAGTTATCAAAGATTGAACACTTAGTATAAGATTTAAGTTATCATTAGAATTTATTACATGTTTTACTTTTTTTTAAAAATTCTTACACCTTAGAAAATATTTATCACTTTAACAATTTTCATAATTATATATAAATTATGTTTTAGGATGGATCTTGATATTACATTTTGAAAATGTTAATTATACATACATGACATATTTGAAGAATTAGAATAAAATAAAGAAGGAATATATTGTAATAAGATATAGATTCATATTATGCATTAAAATATATATTTGAACAATTTTCATAATTTCCTTTGAGCTTGTTTTCGGCTTTCAAGCCTTGCTTTAAGGATAAGCCTATATCTATTATATGGGATAAAATTGTGTGTAGATAAAATGATATTAGAGTCATAAAATCCAACAGAAGAGGGGCATAAAACAAGGGCAAAGGGCAAAAGCAAAATCCCCACCGCCGAATCTTGACTCGGACTGTCTCCTTAGTGCATACAAACACAATGACCCTTCACTCCTCCAATTATCTCACCCGTTCAAATTCAATATCTCAATCACTTTGGCCATTTTCCAGCAAATAAAATGCCAAATTTTTTTAGGCTGACTCTTCAAGAATTGAAAGATACATTTGGTAAGAGAATATGCATATATATATATATATATAAAGATTTAAATGTTAAATTTGATAGATATATTTTAAACATGATTGCAACAATTCCTTTGTACTTGTGCCTACTACCTGTGATTGCAGCAATTCATGTATCCCTGCTTTGAACTTACAACAATTAGTAAAAATAATAAAATTCATATAGAAAATTAAATTTGTAGCACTCAAGACCATTAATTAAAAAAAAAAATCCTACATTTTTGTGAGGGAAACCAGAAATGCAGGAAGAAAGAAATTGAAAAAAAGGCGATGATAAATAAAAGACAAAGGAGTAAAAATGATTTAAAAATGACGAGTTTTTGAATCAAAATATACTGAATAGAAGGTTTTTCTATTTTTCTTTCTTTAAATTAAAAGTAAAAAAATGAAGATCTTTCAAGTGATATTCATATTTGAACGAATCAACATAAATCTTTTAAGTGACACTCGTATCTAAAAACGTACCTAAGATGTGTAAAGCAGCAAGGTTTCTTTCTGAAAATTTAAGGGACTTATAATCTTTAAATTTTAAAAGTCAGATTGCTCTGAAGTTATCCATGCTTTTCCTTTTTACACAAGTTGTGCTTTATCTACTTCGCTTGTCTTACAAGGGAACAATCAGAGTCAGCGAGAGGCATTCCTAGAATTTGTGTCCCAAGGAGGGGCTTCCTTAGTAAATAGGGGAAGCTAAAGATCAGATAGTCTGCATCAGAGTCAGCATTTAGGCCAATATTTGGCATTGCCCACCCAAAAAGTTAACGATAACCCTCTTCTTATCCAAAACCCTATTTGTTTATGTGCAAAGAATTTACAATTTTTCGCGGATATGGATAAAACAATTTTATCTTCAAAGAATGCTTAGCTTTTTACCTTGGACGTTGCCTCTTATTATCTAAATACGTTTCGGATAAGATTGCATTTGCCCAACCAAATTTGTATATGGAAACTATCCATTTTTATGCAGTGTGGTGGCATGATATTGCCTTTTGACACAGATATGAATCACATTTATAGCTTACTAACTCAATAAGATAGCTTGAAGTTGGAACATTAATAGAATGATATATCCATGTGATGCCACATATATATCTGTTAATTAAGCTAAAAGATCTACTGCAATCACCCAGGAAACTGGACTAAATCAGATCCGAAAAAAATAGAGGGGTAACGAAGCTGGTCATAAATTATAGACTAGCTTAATATTGCTTTTAAAAATATATAAGAGTGATTTTTGAAAATTATTGTAAAATAAAATATAGTTTTAACCAAGTACGGAATTAGCTAAATTTCCTTGAGAACTTTGAAAATTTTAAGCTCAATGCTTTAGCTAAATTCTAACATTACCAAAGGACCAGATTGGGGTTTTTGTTAAGAATAATTAGTGATAATTTATTGGGGTGGAAGGCATCATGGTGATTTAAAAAACATGATTAACACTAATCCCTCTAGAAATGTTGAACCAAAAGGCTAAAGCTAGAGAGGTATTATTATGTATTGATTTCCGGGACCCATTTTTGGAGGTAACCTTTTCTAAGCAGGGCAGCAAAATATGAAGATTTTTAACATTACAACGTCACCTTTACCTAACCCTAATCATCTCTTTAATCATGGAACCCAAGCTGATGATAATTACTAGCTTCAACCTAATTATTTCCCTAGGGATTTCTCTTGATAAGTACTAATTCCATTGCCCCTTGATTCCCCTTCACTGACCTGGATTTTTTATAGTAGGTGCTAACAAATTTTTTTCTTGAGAACCAATCAAATTATTGATTAAACAAAGACAGGAGGCTTTAGCTCTTTTTTTCCACATTGCCCCCCTTGGCTTGAAATGCTAATTTACGTTATAATTATTCTCTTTGGTTTTTTTTAAGGTGGAATTATTCTCTTAGTTAAGTGGAAATTCATTAAAAAAAAGAATTATTGCTTCTCTTTTTGACAGTCAACTAAGACAGTAGTTGAGTACCATTGTCATCAAATTACTATCCTTAATCAACACTCTCTCTACAATGGCAGAATTGACAGATTAAAAGGAAAAAAATGTTGTCCTGGACCAATTATTACCTTGTTATCTCTCTCTGGCTTTTCAATACTCTCTGTCCTCGCTTGCTCGCTCCTTGAATTGAAACTAGCAATAAAAAAATCACACGGTCTGAATTCTTCTGGTAATATTAGGTTGAATTGAATAAAAAATAAAATAAAAATACTAACTTCAAAATGAATTAACTTATTCCTCCTTCAACAACTACAGGTAGACAAAAGGGATAAAACTATTTCTAGCCGCTGTTTGTTTGACAATTTTTCTTAACTTAGTCCTCAAATTTTATTTCAATTATATTAGTCAATGAACTTTGACCATTTTTTTTTCATTTTAATATTTTTAATGGTATGATCGATGTTGAATTAAAAAAATCTAAATTTTATTATCAACGTTGATAAAAAAATTAAATTTAGGACTAAAAGTTACCAAAACTAGACAAAACAAATTAAGTATTGGAATATGGGAGAGGTTGAACATGGGCGTGTCTGACGGGGTTGCCTGTTGCCGGCTCTATATCTCACGGTTTGTATTGTCTGCAATGAACATAAGCTGAACCAGAAGTGGTGTTCACTGTTCAGTTACAAAAGAATACCTGCAACTGCTAGTTCAAGCCTCACGTGATATTCATATACCTTTTACTTTTCTTTTTCGTCGGCGAAAACCGCGCGTGATTTTCAAACCAGACCTTGTTTTCACTTTTTGTGACTCATGAGAGAGTGACAGGTTGAACTAATCAATGTTTCATGGATTTCCTCACTTTCCCACGGACAAAACCTCGAGTTCCCGTTGTCCTGTTCCAGAAACTCCCGACTTTCCCATGCAAAAAAAAAAAAAAAGGCTCGATGGAATAGAAAATTTTCTCGCTTATTGGATCTTTTTTTATATCTGTTTTTCATTTTGCTTTCAGATATCTTCCATTTAATTCCACTTTCTTTCTTTTCTGGTGACAAGGGTTTTGGGCAAATAAGATTGGGGCGTGGCCAATGGAAAGCCAAAGGATGCTACCTCTTCAGCTTTACAAATGTACCTAAAAGAGCATTGAAATGAATCACACATTTCCAACTGCGAAAAAAAGGAAGAATAGCCCATGTGATGGCTTAACGTTTGCTTTTCTTTTTCACCCACATACAAAAAGGTGACTTATTCTATGGAGCACTGGTCCATGCGTGATTATTATATTCCTTAATTAACCATATTTAATTCAAACACAATATCTTAATCGTATGATAATTGTTCATCACAAGAACTGCGATTAAGCTAATCAAACCCACCACAGATTCGTTATCTGGTCGTTGTCAATCAATTTTCAAGATGTCCATAATCACTAGGAGACATGCATGATCACATCCCTCCGGTAATTTTTTATTTGGCTTGTTGAAATGACACAGCAGGCAATTTGGACTTTTTTCCGGCTTCCTCATAACTTCTTGGTTTCTAAAGTTGAAATACAGGAGAGGCTTCATTTTCTACTTAGATCAATATTTGGCGGTACAATTGCAGCTACTCATGCAATTACTTAATACGTTGCTGCTTTTGCTATTTTTGGAAATTGTTTTTCAAATTAGAGATTTGTTTAGTGGCAAATTCAATAGGCTCTACGACTTTTTTTCATCGGAAATTAAATAATTTATCCTACTTACATTATAGTTTGAAATTAATGTATTGAGACCCTTCAATTCAATGCATATATAGTATCAAACAAGTGGCAGTTGAATCTCCTAATTTCCAACTCTAAAGTAAGAGTGTTGTTAAAGAAGGAAAGATCACGCATCATTAATAATCAAACATTAGCCCGTTTGTGGCTCATTTTCATTTAATTGAGGTCGTTTACATTCTTAGTTAATGAACGAGGTTGGACCACCGTTGCCTCTCCACATCGATCGCACACCTCTCTTTAGGGGTGTAAATGAACAAAACTTGAACGAATAAGGTTATGTTCATGTTCGTTTGTTTATTTTTAAATATGTTCATGTTCGTTTATTTATTGTTCACGAATAATTTCGTTTAATGTTTGCGAACGTGTTCGTTTATATGTTCATGAATGTATTCATTTAGCATTCACGGACATGTTCGTTTATATTTTTCATTTTTAGTTTTACCCTTTCATATGTAAACTAAAGAAAATGGAAAAATTAGGCCACTAGTGCTTAAATTCCTTAAAATTCACAGTTTAAATTTTAACTTTTATCATGTGTTTAATTTAGTCCCTACCTTCATCAATAATTAAAATGTAAAAAAAATAAAAGAAAAAAGAGAACCGGGTAAACGAGCTTGTTCATGAATATAAATGAACGAGTCGATAAACAAGCTCATAAACGACCTTATAAATGAACTTGTTCGTGAACATAAACGAACCGAACACACCTCTATTCGTGTTCATTCGTTTATTAAATTAACATAAATTTTTTTGTTCATACTCGTTTATTTAACTTAACAAACGAACATAAACGAATGTTATACGAACAGTTTACCGAACTCTTTGTTCATTTACACCCCTACCCCTCATTGACCCCTCATGACGTGGTTCAAACCTTACAACTATCTGACTCATTTGCACCCCTTGTGAGTTATTGGATAGATTTTAAAAACCATTTTCGACGAACAATTGAAAGTTGGGGTCAGTGGACATCAGGCAGTTGTGAGAGCAATGGATAGGGAGATAGAAAATTGATGAAAATTGCAAAAAGATGGTGTCCGAAGAGTGTGTGTTTTGCAAAAGAGAGACGATGATTGAAACAATGTGGAGACATAGTTGTGACGGCGACGATGCAAATTGCGATAAGAGTCTGGGAGAATCATCAGTGGCGACGTTGCTGCGATGGCAGTAATGACTAAAGTTGCGATGAGAGTATGGGAATCATCAGACGATAAAGAAGAATGAATGATGACGTGAAGACAGTGGTGGGAGGAATGGAGAAAACGAGGATGATCGATAGAGATTAAATTGAAATAAAAAGGGATATTTACACAACAAGTCCTTAAACTTCAACATCGTTGAAAGATGCCACAAAATTATTATTAAATTATTTAAAATTAAATTAAGAACCAAATTGATATGATTTTAAAATATTAAGGAAATTTTCAATTATTTTGAATTAAGATCAATTTGATAGTGTGTGTAAGTTTTGAGAACTAAAACTATTATTATACCAATGTCATGTCACTAGTTCCACTAAGTCAACAATCAAACATAACAATAGGTGACTAAAACAAAAACGTAAATTAAGTATGATTAAAATAATAATTGAATGATTAAAATAAAAATACAATAATAGGTAAGTGACTAAATAGATAGTTTACCAAAAATATTAGACCATGATTTTTAAAAATATACCACAATCTGCAAACTTCGTTACTCAAACTTAAGATCATAGGGAGAATAATATTTTCTTTAACCATTAAGTTCGTTTAATAAATTTTTAGATTTGAATGTTCACTACTATACTAATTATATATATATATATATATATATTAAACCAACACAAATCCAAAAGTGCTTGTCTTCATAAATTATAAATTATACAACGATATATATTCAGCAAAAAACTTGGATTTTATGTCAAGTTGCAAAAGGGCTTTGATTTTTGTAAACTATTGTCATAACCTGGAACTAATTAAGGGGCCTGGAAAGAGAGTTTTAACGTTTCATTACGAAACATATAATAAATACAATTTTCTTTGAAATCATATTAATGTCTAATTTGTTAATTAATTTAGTTGAAACATATTATAAATTAATATAATAAATGTACTTTTTTATATATAAATAATTACACTTCTTATATTAACAGTAATTTCGTAATTAAATTAAAAAGTTACACAAAGAAATGAAGAGGCGAGAACCCACTTTTACTTTTGATAATGGAAGATAAGACATGCAACACAGACGTAAAAATGGAAAAAGAAAATATTATTTTTTATTAGTAAAAAAAAGGAGAAAATATTAATTGGTGACACATAGGGATGGGTTATGGGTCGGGTTTCCTCCAACCCGATCCAATCAAAAAATTTTACATCATTCATTGACCCGACCCGAAAAATATATACCATCCACTCGACCTGACTTTTTGATATAAAATCCGAAATTGATCTGACTCGATTCAAAATAATAATAAAAATATTATTTTTATTGAATAAAAATAATGATTTAATTAAAAAATAATATATAAAGGGGTATTATTGTAATTATTCTTAACTATATAAGGTAAAATTTTATTTTTTTAGTCGAATCAAGTATTTTTCATTTTAAGCCCAAATCCGACATGATCCGAATATCACCTTTAAAAATCTCGATCCAACCTGACCTGATGCCAATTAAAAAAAATCAATCCTATCGGGTGCCCATTCCTAGTGACACACTGGGACCCTTCGCAGCCCGTCAGTTTCCCTCTGGTGTACAACGGTCTGGGCACCACCTAACCTAACCGGATCCCCCGCCCCCACACGCGTGGGTATGCCACGGTCCTGTTTCTCAGTCTCTGGTTCACTCTTGTGTTATTCAATAATCATATGTTTCGCATCACCTTTTTTTTTATTTTTGATACAAAAGCAGACAATTCACTTATATATAATGGCCTTCGAACCTATTCAAATCATTCAGTTTCCAAGTATCTAACAAAAATATTACTGCTACCCCTTTGGAACTTTTTTTCTTCCTTGTTTTTTCTCTTTTGATACTCTTGATAGCAACCTTAAACCTTCACCTCCTTCACTTCCTTCTTTGTATTTAAACAATTATGGCTTCATTTGGATTTGATAATGTTATGGTCCGGAAAGAAGATGCTTTATGCAAGTACAACATGGAGTGGAATTTGAAGATTGGTGTTAGCTTCATCGGGTTTCTGTTGGTTTTGTTTTTGCTTCCGTGGTCCTTGTTCCCCACTGTCGAGGTTGCTGGAGATTTTGCTCGATATTTGGTTTCTACTTTTAATAAACCACTCTTCGCGTTCATCCTCGTAAACAGCATCATTATTGTTGTTTATGTTTTATCTAACCAAAATCAGTCCTGGAAACCAACCGCCAGTCCTGATATATACGATGAGTACCTTAGCTCCCGCCGGAGTGTGCCCACATCAGCTGCCACCACCGCCGCCCCTGCCAAGGAAGAGACCATGGTGGACAAGCAAATCATCCTGGTAGAAAATGCAGTTGCTCTAGTTTCTCCAGTAGAGCAGCAACCTACGATCGGTGGCTGTGATACAGTTACAGAGGCAAAACGTTCCGTTTCCCCAGTTAAACAACAACCACCACCTACGGAGAACCGTACAGCTCCAACCGAAGTGATCAAGCAAAAGGAGTACCGAAGAAGTCGATCTCTGGTTTCAGAATCTCGAAACCAACGAAGCCGCATGTTTCGGAGGTCGGAGACGGCTATGATCAGTCGAGAGATGATGGTTACAGGCTCCGAGCCGCCAAGGAAATCAATGGATGAGATGAGTAGCGAGGAGTTTCAGTCGATAATAGATAGTTTCATCGCTGAGAAAAAGAAAACTCTGATGCAAGAAAACACCGCCCATTACACTGGGAGGAAAGATAAGTGCATGTCAATTGTGGTTAAGAATTAAGAGATTATTAGACAAAAATTAGTGAGTTAAAACATAATCTATCTCGATATTCGAATATGTAGGGCGTAGGCTTATCAGTATCCATATTTTTAACTACTATGGGATGTACAGCGATAAAATTTCCCAGGTTTTGTGGGAGTAAATTTAAGATAACCATGTTTTATGGAATATTGTGCTCTTTTCTTATTGCTTATTTGCCCATTTTTTTGCCTCCCCCCCTAATCTACGAATGATATTCTCTCTGAATCTATGTGCTGCTGTTTTACTCTGAATCAAACGTGCAATTATGGGTATATTCTGTTCTGGGTAAAAAATGAAAGTGCATTCTAATTATGAAAGGATATTATTTTATGAGGGCCGAAAACAAGAACTGGCAGGCGCAGAAGCAGCTACGGAATTCAGGGACAACTGAACTCCTATTTTTCATTTTCAGAAACAAAAGAAACTTTGATTATATACCATTTTTTCTGTGTTTTCCCCACTCTGACAGAAGAATTTATAGAATTTATTTCAGCTGCTCTAAGTTTCCTTTTACATTCATTTCCTTGCTTCTTCTTGGAAACACTTGTGTGATTGTGTTCCCTTGTCATCTATGGTAATTTTTAGATCCCAAATACTTATATATTCAGCTTCATGCAAAGTTTGGTCTTATTCTATCTGCTAATCAATACCCAAAGATCCAAAGGGTACAATGATGAAAGGCAAACAGCGTAAAAAAAAAAACTAAAAAGGCTATGAAATTCATCAAAAGCACACAAAAAAATGGTGGCTCTGGTGGGTGCTTTGCTTAATGAATACCCAATCATGAACATTTCACTGTTGTTCTGATTAAAATAACATTTGTTTACAGTAGTCTAATAGAAAAGCACATTTACACCTACATAATGGAGTAATAAATTAGAGTGATGGATGAATTTACTACCGAAAGCTTGAAATCTTCCACGGGAAAGTCAATAACTTTTACTCAAATTTAGGCACGCCCACTAACCAATAAACTAAACAGCCTTGTCTTAATTTCATCTTTAAACTTTGCTTATCATCATTACCTACACTAACTAGTGGGGGCTTTGAGGAACTTTAGACATGTATCATCTTAACAGCTTTGTCTTTAATTTCGTTTTTCTGCAATTCCAGACAAAGTTCCCCCCACCAGCTTTCCTTTTTCCTTCTTAATTCTCTGTTTCGTCCCTTGAAAGTGACATCTCAATTATTCTTCTAGTAATTCTCTTTTCCAGATTTTTTTTTTGGAAAGAAGAATCAAGTACAATAACCGAGGAAGCATTTTTATTTACCTACCCAGTCTCTATTTAATTCTACAGAAAAAGAACTTGTGTTTCGTTTGGTCCTGAGTGCTTGAACAAGGGACCACTGGGATTAAAGAAAGAGGGTTGGGTTGAGGTGTGAGGAAGGTTCTTTGCAATGAAGAACCTTGCTTTTGCCCACATATTCTAAGAGGGCGTCCTCAATCAACTCACCAACAAATTCATTTTGTTAACGGAAAAAAGCTGTGCATGCCACATTTCAACATGTTTGTGCGTGTGTGTATGTATATTATTCCCCTGTTAGAGCAGTTAAGCAAGAACTGCAGATAAAATAAGATCAAAAGCTGATTGTCATACTCTTTTCTCCTTGATTTTACCTCTCAAAATGAGTGATTTTGACCTTAGCTCTGAACTTCCATGACCTGTGATCTTTGTAACCTTGCAAGTAACCTTAAAAACTGGAAAATTTTAATCATTTGTATTATTCCAATTCCATAATTTACGTTTGACTAAGAAGTTTAAACTAAATAAGTATTTTCATTGCTTAATTAGAGAAAACCAAATATCAGTTTCCATGGAAACGGAAGATCCCAATTTCTTGAAAGAAGGCTGGTTGTTACATTCTTCATGTTTCGCTAGCACGAAAGTAATAATAGTTCCAATTATAAAATAAAAAAGCAAAAGGGTCGAACGAAAAATGCCAAGAAATATATATTTTTATATATAGAATATTTGTCTTCATATAGTAATGTATATAAATATTGGAGCGATTGTATCATTTTGTGTGATCAAAGATTTGTCATTTCATTCATTTATAAGGGGCAATCATTTAACGGACGATCAGGATTGGGGCAGCTGCCATGCCATGAAAGTCTCCTCAATTGCTATTGTTTTTTAGCAGAACTTTAAGAGTTATGAGATTGATTTTTGGATTTTCGCAAAAATAGCCAATCCCAGATATGAAGGTAAATTCGGACGTCCTATTTCAATAAAACTACGTTTATAATCATATATGTGCTGAGAACGACACTTGAGAAGAAAGGGAAACAAGTGAAAAATAAAATCAGACACATAAATTATGGGAGTTGGATCTACTTTCACTATGTTGGAAAAATTGTTTCCTCGTAAAACATGTGATTTGTTTTCTTACAAGCAAGGAAACCTGGACTGATTACGGCATGCACCAGTAGATTAGACAGCGTCGATGAGATCGAATGAAAATGGGATTTTATAATTAAATTAAATAAAAATGCTTTATTTGATTGGTGGATCAGTCAACAGCATGATCTAACAAAATGTTAAAATAGTCTTTTTTTTTTTTGCTTTTTTAAATATAAAATTGTGGGGAAGTCTTTTATTTCTACTTTTGTTGTGCTTTATTTGGTTCAAAGCAACGGTATCGTATTTAATAATTTATAAATAGGGTTGATCGGTGATGGATATTAATTGTAATTGATTCCAATATTTATAGCCTGTACTAGCAAAATTCGAAAATTTCAATGTTCTTTTTGCTTCGCTTACATTTACATGCAAAAAGAGAAACTTCAAACTGATTGTGCGTTGAGCCATGCAAAGGCAGAAGGTGATAATAGGAGTACAAAAATAGAATGGCAAAGTGCATGGCACAAGTGTCAGTAAAGACCCAATAAGCTGTTAACAGGCAGATCTGTTTTATGTTGGAGCTTTCCAAAAGCAATCATTCCTGAAAGGAAAGCACACGACAAGCATAGGTGAAAATTGACGAGTGCGTCTAAATTGGGAACGCTGTCCTTTGCCCCTACATCAAGGGTGGGTCTCCCCAATTTGGGTAATAAGGGTGGTGATATAGGACAAGCTGGATTAATTCCAGTAGGCAGGCTTTCTCTACTCTTTACGATTATTCTCTCCTATCCTTATGGGCTATCTCGGCTAAACTCACGATATAATGCACTCAAAATAAATAATTCACAAAATAACGTTATCCCAACATTATTTGCTGAAATAGGGCGAAATCAACAGTGTGGCCGTAGGTCGCCATGCCTTCCGGGCGACCTACGACGTGGCTTGCCATGCACAACCCAACCATAGGTCGCCATGCACTCCCAGCGACCTCCTAGGTCGCCATGCACGCCCGGCGACCAAGGAGGTCGCCATGCACTCGGGGCGACCAAGGATTCATGCATGGGGAGATTGTGCCATGCACTCGGGGCTCGGTTCATGCATGGGGCACTCGAGGCGACCAAGGATGACCAAGGAACGATTCATGCATGGGACACTCGGGGCGACCAAGGATCGGTTCATGCATGGGAAGAATGGGGAGATCGTGCATGTGTAGGTCGCCATGGAGTCCCGACAAGGTCGCGAGCAGGCGAGCATGCAGCAGGGCATGGATGGGCGTGCATGGGCGTGCTCCTTTGGCGAGATGGGCGTGCATGGGCGTGCATGGGCATGGAGGTCGTTGGCTGGTAGGTCGCCGGGCGTGCATGGCGACCTACCCCCGGTACTGTAGAGGACACCACTTGAGCAATTAATCTGGCGATCCCACTATTTCGTGAAAAAAAAAAATTCAACGCACTATCAACGAGATTTTGCCGGGCTAGGCTATCTCTATCTTAGCTTACCTATTCATTTGAAATGGTTTTTGAACAAACAATGACCCATGTCTTATACGTATACAATAATATATGCAAGTAATAACATTAGTCTTTGAATTTCTTAAACTGTGAGTTCAATAACTGCAATTAGTTAGTTGAATTGTTTTGTTCCTATTAATGTCCCGCACCATTGATCAAGTTATATTTATTTAAGATATATTTATTATGAATTCATTAAGCGATTTCATTGGTAAAATATAATATTATTTTACATAAATATTCTATGTTCGATTAATTACAACTGCATAATATGTGCATGTTCATTCTCATTTATTTAAGAATATTCTAAACATATACTACTCTAGTATCCTTGTACATCTCAGACTAATAAAAATATAGACATTATTAATCATAATCCGAAGGGATTCAATCTAAAATATTATTAATAGATTAAAAGTGTTAAAAATAATATTTTTAAGTAACAAATAGATATTATTAATATGAATTTATTTCAGCTTAATTAAAGTAATGAAGAAACAAAAACATTGAAATTTTTAATGAGAGAGTTTAAAAATCAACGAGATAATATTTGTTCGAATCATTAAATGGATAAACGATGAACAACACCCGTAATTTACATTAAAAAAGTTTTAAAAACTTATTTGAGATGAATTAAAATTTAAGAATTTATTTAGGTTTAATAAATGTTTAAAATTATTTAAGTGAAACATAAAGGTTTTATTTTTTGAAGATAAATAAAGTGACAAATTTAAAGGATTTTTTTTATATATATTAGGGTGATATCATTGTTAATTTTTTAACGACGGATATCAAAACGAATCATAAACTAAACATTAGGTATGATTTTGAAAAAGATAAAATTTAGATACCAAAATAAAAAAAATACTAATTTAGATGATAAACATATAGTTTATCCTAAATTTTCTAATAGCAATGAGTACCACTTTACCAATTTCACGTATATAAAAAAAATGATTTACAAATCAAATCATCTCGGTGATTAATAAAATGTTGTTATTCTTTAAAATTTCAGGTTTGTGAACAATGTATTGGAGATATAAATAATAAATGATTGAGAATTTTTAAATAGATATTATTTTATATTCCCTGCATATTAATAAATTATTTTATATTCCCTGCATATTAATAAAAAATAAAATAAAATGATTAGTTGAATCACTTTGACAAACACTTTTAGACCACGACATGTGTATACTTTAATAAAATTTTAGATTTTCAAATATATTAAAACATGTTATCACTTCAACAATAGTTTTGGGGGAAAATTCAATTAAAATGAATTAGATAATAATTTAAAATAACAATATCAAATTTAATTTGAAATATCAAAATTTTGTACTAAATAGTATAGATCAATACAATTTAATATTTGACAAAAATTAATCAAAACATAATGAAATATTAGTTTATGACCAAAATGATACAAATTAATTTATATCCAAACAATATCGATTATCATTTTTTTACAAAAAAAAGTTTAAGTCAGGGGTGACTTCTCAAATCCAGGGCCAAGGCATACCTAAGACCCAATTGAGATTTACATAAGACTTTACAAATTGTCCACCAAAAGTGGCGGTGGTGGGATTCGAACTTGGTCTTACAAACTCAAATTCTTGAATCTCAATCACTTGTGTCAACACATGTTGGCATACGACTATCATTTTTTACTTACTTTTAGATAAATGTAAGTATTATATAAAAAAGAAATCATAATCAATTGTACAAACATAAATCACTTAACAGAATCACTATTTACAAAATTCACCCTCAATCCTTAGGGTAAGATTGGCAACCAACCCAGCTTTTCCATTGCCCAAATCCTCCACTTTCAGACGAACCAATTCCTCTAGTCGACACACTTAACATAAATGTAGTAATTTTTTGCATAGATAATTTCCTTTGGGGCCATAACAATTTGCTCAATCCTTGAAAGGAACCTATAAAGATTATTATATAGCTCTTTGTTAATAAGGAAATTCTTTTGGGCTGAAATCAAAGCCTTCTATGGTAAGTTTAGTTATCTACTTCCTTTCTCATGTTACATGCATATTGTGTTGTGAATTTGTAGGTGTATTTCATTGATTTGGATCTGAAACCTTTGAAGAAAATGGAAGCCCATTACGAGTTGGATAAGAAAATTGTTAGCTGCTCTTCTCATATGGTGAAAACAGAGCATGAAACCCAGAAAGCTTTTAGAATGAACTCCAATGGAAGTGTAGGAGATCAAAGATATGCACTGGAAGACAGCTTCCTAAACCGTTACACTGAAGATTTTATTGGTGAGTGCAAGTACATCTTTTTATAAATGTTAACCCTATTCCAGTTCTTCTTTTTAATCTTTTATGCTTTTCAAGTATTGTTAGCTGTCAATGATAGAATATTCTTGCCGTTGGACTCGACACTTTCCCTTTGCTTGAACGAGGTAATGCATTTTTCATATCTTGCAGTGTTGATTTTTGTAATGCTACCATCATACATGCACGTCGCATCTGATTTCCCAGAGAGAGGGCTGCTTAACATTTCTTTTCAAGTGGCTGCTTACTGCTTAACAGGAGAAAGAGGTGGGAAGTGAGAAAATGACAGAACAGTGGGTAAAAAGTAACGGAGAAAGTGATGTATCAACTACTCACAATGCCATTACATCTCCAGCCCTCATCGCAAATTAAATTCATACAGCTGTATAGTAAATTTGCTGTTTTTGTTGTTGGAAACCTCGACGGATGAAAATTGTACTCTTGATTGCTTTAATGCCAATGAGAACAGATTTTTCTCTGAAAGCTTAACTAATGAATTCTGTTCTTTATTTCCTTTGACCAGTAAATGCTTTGATGCCAATAAATTTCTTACAGTAACCGCTTGAGTTATACTACATGGAAAGATCATTTTCCTGTGCGATGTTAGCTTGGACCTTGATGATCTCAATTCTCAGACATTAGCCTGTAACTTAACCAAGAATTTGCTTTGGAGATTTAAGCTCTTGGAGTTGAAGGAGAGCTACGAAGTTGAAAAGTGATTGGACCATTGGAGATAGAGAGTACATAGAAAACCTGCTAGATTTGTACTGAAAAACTCCAAGGTCACAGGGCAGACAGTACTAAGAAATCAGAAGAAAATGTTTTATCTGGTTACTCTGACAACATCCTCAGATTGTCTGTACAAATGATTGTATGCTCAGTCCTGTGGGAACTTCTCATAGCATCAAATCATCAATGTCCTTTGAAACAACTGCATGTATGATTTAATTTTAGCAGTATGAAACTGCAACCTCGCTCTATGTTTCATTAAAAACTGATTCAAGATCATTATGAGATAGAACTCTGAAAGTTCTTGGGTGTCCCTGTAAATTTTTTTACATTTCCACTGGTATCCAATCAAACATCTCTCTGGCATTTACTACTCAACCAACCGTGTCAGTCCATTTAGTTCCCAACCAAACTTCTATCCAAAACAAATTAGAAGAAAACATCAAACTCACAAGACATTTACATCTAGTCAAATTGAGAGACGTAGTAATAATTTTATATAAAGGACAACTTTGGTGAGTGTGTGTGCTTTATTCAGAACCATGTCAAAGGTTCTTTTCCCTCCAAACCAATTTAACTTCCATATTTGCTTCTATGTTATCTGATGTTTCTTCAGTTAATGCATTAAATTTTTAACTCATCAATTTCTTCTCTGCCATTCTCTCCCTGCAAAACTGACATCCTGCAGTACTTTTACTGGTCATAGGATGTTGTTCTCTGCTCGGACAATGTACTATAGAGTCTGACTCGTTTCTTTTCCTGTTGCAGAAAACAGTCCTGTCAGTGGAGCTGTTTTGTCCGAAGTGCAGGCAGAATGTAATGAAGGTAATTTCAGACATTGTAGGGATAACTTCTATCGTCCTCGATGCATCCAAAAATACCGTAACGGTGACTGGTGAAGCCGATCCCTTTAAGATCATTAAGAAAGTGAGGAAATTCAGAAAACATGCATCGATTGTAAGTATAGGGGCTGCGAAAGATGAGAAGAAGGACGAGAAGAAAGATGAGAAGAAGGATGAGAGGAAAGATATTGTAATATACACTCCAAACACGTGCCAGAAATGTGATGTTTGGTATGTTGTGCGTGATGACGTTTACCATTATTGTTCCATTCTGTAAAACAAAGATTCCCATATTCCGAATGTAATCATTTGTTGTAAATTTAGTTTCTACTTTTCACAGGTTCCAAATGATAAGAGGCAGAGGAGGTCATCTCTTCCGGTAGTTATGGATTAAGCATGAATGGCTTTTTCTCTACTATATCATAAAACTGTAAATGTTCCAATTTCATCGGCAGATTTCAGTTGATATTTGCTTTATGATCTATATTTTTGCAGAATACATATTTAAAAAACATGGGAGATTCATTATAGAAGTTGGAAGAACTCTATTAATGGTATTGTTCATCACTGTTCTTTGCAACTGTGAAAAAACCGGACATTGTTTTCTACCAACGGCTTAGATGAGTACCACGGTTGGAAACAAGACAGATCAATTGAAGGAATGAAGGTATCACATTCAAAGCTTGTCTCAATTTCAGTAATGTGAATGGCTTCACAACCTGGAGCATTAAGTGTTTCCCAGCATTTTTAAGACATCAAAAATATATATTCCCCCAACAATATGCAATGAAATTCAACAATTCTTGCTAAAATCTTACCTAAATATCTGGCCACCGCCAATGACAAACACTTTCTCTGTTGAAAAACAGTAAGGAACCTCAGCTAATAGTTCCAAAGTTGATGGAATGTTCCCACATATTACAACATTTTCTCCGGTTGTAATATCAGAACTCTGGGAACGAGTGAGGACAACATTAAGGCGACCAGGTAAAGGTCTATTTTCAAGTGGAATACTCTCCCGGGTTTTTCTACCCATTACTACAACATTCTTCTTCTCAGGATCCGATGTTGTCACTGTAAGTTCCTTGAAGAATTTGAGGTCAGAAGGCAATCTCCATGGTAACTTACCATCTTTCCCAATCCCCATTTCACGAGTTGCTGCCACCACAACTTGGTAATTCCTCAGGGAACTCTTAGGTCGGCTCCTTAGATTATCACCCGACAATGCAGAAAATCCAGCAGTCTCATTGAAACCTCTTAAAATTTGTGATCCAGAAATAAGATTGGAAAATCCATTTGCGTAACAACCCAGAAGAACCTGAAATTGGGGGAAAACGACGGTGAAAAAAACAAGTCAGATAATCGAGAATAACAAGGCCAGGAAAGATGAAAAATGTAAAACACATATAATTAGACAAACCTTGGGCAAAAGTATATTATTCTGAAGACGCGTCAACATTGAGAAGAAAACGAGAGCCAAAATCTTTGAATTTGGAACAAAAGACCAAATGAGATATTACTGTCGTAACCATTTTTTTTTAAAGTAAAATAATTAAATATTATTTTTTAAAAAACGATTATGACTTTTATTTTAGAAAATAAGTGATTTTGAATTTATTAGGATTAAATTGAAAAGAGAGTCGTCATCGACCTTTGGATTAAGTAGGTAGAATACCTAATAATGTCTTTTAAAACAATTTTAAGTAAAAATTATTTTTTTAAGACAAAAATGACATGCGTTTACCAGAAATCGTATTAAAACGGGTTTGTCGTAACCGTTTTTCGCCCAGAAGGGGAAAGACCGATGCCGATGGGGTTTTCTCTTTGAAAATTGTTTCGAAAGATGAAGAGTCGCCACCAATCATTTGAGGTGTGATTGGAACACCGTAAAAACCGGGTGATTTTAATAAAACATTTTATTTTTATCAAATACCGAGTTTTTGAGGTCTGCAAAATCCAGAAATCAGGTTCGGGAGTCGGTTACGCGTGGGGAAGGATTAGCACCCCCACAAGCGCCCAAAAATTGGTACCTAGTTGATTACCCTATATTTAAAATCGGAAATTTTGAGTTCGATCTTTATTTAATTTAAAAATCATTAAGGATGTAGAGTTTGAAAAGGGTATTCGTTTATTGAGACCGATAGCATTCGCCCCCGAGCGTAAATGCGGGAGATCAGCTATTCTGTCTAATAACCGAACATTGCCTCATTTTTAGAAAACATGATGTGGTTTTGAAAAGGATGTCGACTTATTTGGGGAGTTACCAGTAGTCACCCCCTGAGCACGATCGCGGAGGATATACTATTAATTCCTTAATAAGTGAACAGTACCTTAGATTTGTAAAAACAACGCAATCAAACAAAATTTTATTTGTCCTAATTAAACTAAAAGTAAATTAAGGATTTTTATAACTTAAAGTGTCAAATTATGAAAATTAAAGAACCTAGGGGTTCAAATCTAAAATGTAGGTTCTAGTATTAATACTATATATTAAAATGAATTAAATATTTACGTATTACAAAATTTCTTTTGATAAATTTTAAAATGATCGAATATTATCCTTAGTCAATTTATTTTGATTCGAGTTAAGTAATGCTCATGAGAATATTGTACAAATTCTTTCGAATTGAAAAGTACATGAAAATAAGTCTACATGCTCCTGATCAAATAAATTTACATTGCTTTACACGTATTAAATTGGTAAATATAATTAAAGGATATAAACACATTTTGCAAATGATTATTACCTATTATGCAATATACCTATATGGCATACATATATAATATTATATTACATATGAATTCATGAGATGCAAAATACGTAAATAAAACAAGTGCCGTGGTACCCTATTTCTGTCGATTGGTATTCGCGTAACATAGAAAAGTTAACGCTTAACAAAAAAAAAAAATCTTGGCAACATATTAATAAATAAAAAAACTAAAGAGTGGACGTTTGATGTGAATTAAAGAGAACAAATAAACAAAAAAATACCATCAGATAGTAAATTATTTAATAGTTGTAGTTGTTTCATACATAAAGTAATGGTTTTCTTGGGCCCTTTGTTCATCATTTCTGGAGTATTTCAAAGAAATAGGATCCACTTTCCTTCTTTTGTCTTGGAGTAGGTGTTGACCAAACATTTAAAAAATTTCTACCGGAAAAGCAGACTAATTTAAACTAAAAATACTAACTTTAAAATAATGGCTAAATTCAAATAAAAGTAAAATTACATCTATAAAATTAAAAATAAACTAATGACCTAAATACAAAATAAACATACGTTACAGGGTCTTATGTATGATTTATCCTATTTAAATTAAACTAAAACAATATGTAAAATAACATAAATAGTGCCTGCACATTTGAAAATAATCAGAAAATTAAAATAAATAAAGGACTTCTTTAAAAGAATGTAACTAAATTTTGAGAACCTAAGAATAATTTACCCTAATAAGTACGGTGACTAAAAGTTAATTTACCCAAAACTTTTAATATAAAACCTAATTTATGCCTAAACCTAAGCTAACTTACACACAGGAAATGCCTCACTCCTCTTCACTTTCATTTTCATCCTAAACAGAGAGTTGAAACTCTCTTCTCCTGCCACCATGTTCAACGGACATGGTAATGACCCAAAACCTCTACCAAAGCAAAACGACCACCACAACCCTCTATGGACAAGGTTCCGTTTCTAACAGACTCTTAAACGTTTTTTAGATAACTCTTTCTAAAGATATTCTACTAAATTGACCCCAAAGATAAATAATTTTCTCATTTTTTAGTTTTTATTTTATTTTATTTTATAATTTGTTTTTTACTCTAGTGATTGTTGATATTTATGGTGATGATTTTTTTACTTGAATGCTTTCGTTATTTTTCTTTGCTGTTTGTTCTTGATGAAGGAAATAAGGAAAGATTCTCTCGTTCTAAACCCAAACCGGCCTCTAGTGACACATGCGAGCCCTGGAACTGTAAGTAAAGTTTCTCGACAAAATCTCCACAAATATCAGTGACTTAGACTCCAACAACGACGAGACAAACAAAAGAAAAAAAGGTAATAAAAAAACTCTTTTTTCATATTTTCTACTTGCTTAGAAAGAAAAACATTCAAAAATAATACTGAAAATTGAAATAAAGATGGGAAATACCAAAAAGGTTCTTTGCTTTCTATTGATTCCTTGGTTTTTGAAATACAATCTTCAGTGAGACTGCCGTCACGATGACTATTTTTCTGTTTTTTTGAAGAATTGAGTCCCCTGTTACAAAGAATAATTTTCCCTCTCCATTTGCTTTCCCTCGTTCAAATTACCCCTGTTCGAATCCTCTGTTGAAAAACCAAACCCTCTGTTGTTGATTCTCTCTTTTTCTTCCTCTCTTCCTCTTCTGTCTTCACCGGATATATAATTGTACGCATGTGGGAGCAGGTTGGATCCAAGATTTTTCCTGATTTTTGGGTATTATTCTAATATTTAGTGGATTTTAGTGGAGTTAATTTGGTCTGGTTTTTTTATGTTTTGGGTGGTATTTGCCGTAAGGAATGATGATGGTTACTTTGGTGATCTACAATGTGCTCAGCGTTGTGCTTGGCAGTGGCTTCGGGTATGAACCTATCACCGGGTCGGGTTACTGGGCCAGTTCGGGTCTTCTTGTATTGCTGTTAGGTCGGGTCTAATCCAGCTTACTATGGGTCGGTTCTTGGAGTCTCGGGGCTGGAACTTGGGTTGAAACCTTGTAGTGGACTGTTGTGTTTTATTTTGTAATTTGGGCTGCACATTAAGCCTGCCAAATATGTAAAATAATATTAATAATAATAATAATACATATAATAATAATAAGAACGAGATGAAAAATCAGGTGTCGACAGTTGCCCCTCTTTGTCCATTCTTATGTTAAAAAGAATAGGGCAAAGATGAAGAGACAATGCATTTTTCATCCATTTAACTTCAATATTTGAGATATGATGAGGAATCTGTTCCGCTGTCACTCAGGGAACATCAGATCTGGGGATGTTGATCCATTCCACTGTTCTTCAGGGAAGATTGAATCAGGGTAGACTTGTTCCGCTGTCACAGGGAATACCAAACCTTGGAAAAGAGAGACCTGTTCCGCTTCTTCTGAAGGGAATATCAAATCATGGAAAAAGAGACATGTTCCACTTACTCTGAAGGGAATGTCAGATCTGGTAGACTTGTTCCACTTACTCTGAAGGGAATATCAAATCTTGGAGAAGAGAGACCTGTTCCGCTTACTCTGAAGGAAATATCAGATCTTGGAGAAGATAGATTTGTTCCACTTACTCTGAAGGGAATATCAAATCTTTGAGAAGAGAGACCTGTTCCGCTTACTCTGAAGGGAATATCAGATCTGGCAGACTTGTTCCACTTACTCTAAAGGGAATATCAAATCTTGGAGAAGAGAGACCTGTTCCACTTACTCTGAAGGGAATATCAGATCTGGGGGAGTTGATCCATTAAATCGGGATCGAACCTAAAAATTAAACATTAACCTTTGTTAATATGTGTTTGAGGATTCGAAAACATCATACCTGAAAATCTTGGGAAGATAAGTTTTGGAAGAAATTTCTCTTGCGGAAGCTTGTATTGCCACGACCAAACATGGAAATTCTAATTGGTTATTTCTTTGTTGGGTCTTTACATCTTTGCCATTTCTTTTAGGAGAATCTGCAAGCACTCATTATTATGCATTTTATGTCATGATCATGTTTATGCCTAAAATGTGTGCAATGATGCAATTATTTTGAGGGTATTTTCTTTTCAAACGAGAATTTTCTTTTGTTAATGGCCTTGTACTTCAGACTGATTTGGGCACGAAAAATCAACAGCAGTTTATCTCAATCGAAAACCCTGATTGGGCACTCTTTGGTTGAGCCTGACTCTGATTCTCTTTACTCTTTGAACCCATGTGTTTCTCATGACCCACTATTTAATTAGTGACAAAACCTCTTGGGTTATCCTCAATTGTTAAGCATTCGCGTATATCCCAAGGCTTTAACTTCTTATGGTCTAACATTGCATAAGCCTTATGCTAAAACCATTTTCGGCTTCAGAATATCTGTATTTTCCAAAACTTTTTGTACAATAATGCACAATGATCTCATGTTTCCCGAGCTAATCTATATGTTTTTATTTTTAATCAGGATGCTTACAATGCGGTTAAAAACATCTTTTTATTTATAAATAAAGAGTTTTTTTGAGTGAATACATGACAAACTTTTAAAAGGAATAATCAAAAGAAAATACAGTAGGCGTCATCAGACATCAATAGTATGAATGCTTTTGAACTGGCACGCCGTAAGAGGACCCGAGTGTAGCTTCTGTCAAGGAGATCTTGAGGATTATGGTAATGCGTAAGGGTGTGAAGTTCCCCCAATACTGCCAAATTCCCGACTGTTGAATGCCATAAGCCAGTGTTTGAATCTCATTTACTTTCTGGTTACCCAACTAATTCAGCTCCACCATGC